AGTAACCTATACTTTCACCCCTGCATACAGACAACAACATAAAACACACACCAAGAGGAGGTAATTAGCAACTTCCAGATGGAACAAACACGAAAACTTCCCGTCTCATGCACAAGCTGTGGCATTTTCAGCTTTTTCACACTACAATTACTCAATTACATCTGCCCCAAGTGTAAACAGATCACTCGCATGGAACACAGGATCCGACAACTCGAGGACCGTATTATGACCCTTAAGGACATTCAGGAACTTGAGCTGTTCTTAGACACCACACACCACACTGTCCTAGACACGCAGCCCATATCACACCAACATTACGGGGAGGCTCAAGAGAACAGCACCTCAGATGTGGACAACCCTCAGGCTTGGAGAAATGTCACCCTTAGAAGGACACATAGGACCCGGAAGCCTCCTCAGAATACTTCCGCTCAGCTGCAGTTACACAATAGATTCCAAATTCTCACACAACTATCACCTGACCAAGAAACACAACATATTGGGGAAGACCAGAATGGCTTAGATACTGATCAGTGGCTCATCCTTGATCAGTGTGCAGGGGATGGCCTTGACTGGGACAACACTTCACAACATTCACACTTGCACAATCGTGCAGGTGTACCATCCCCAACCATAGACCAGGTGCAACAGGAACACATACAGGAGAACCATAGGCTCTTGGACGAATCTCAATGGATTGTCCTTGACGAATGCACCGGGGATGTCGAGGAGGAGGACAACACTTTTCACCTACACAATTCACACCAACAGGATCACTTTTCTGGAGACCTACACACTACATTGCACAAAAGGGGCACTGTCATTCCCGAAAGTAAACAGGTCTTGGTAGTAGGCGACTCCCTCCTTAGAGGAACGGAAGCTGTCATTTCCAGACCAGATGGGATGGCTCGAGAAATATGCTGCCTACCGGGGGCAAAAATACACCATATCGCTCAGAGGCTCACCAGGCTCCTCAAGCCCTATCACCGTCCTCCCCTCATGTTGATTCATGTAGGAACCAATGATACTGCAAGTTATATGTTTCAAAAGATCACAAATGATTTTCGAGCTCTAGGAGCAAAGCTAAAAGAATGTAATGTACAGGTGATCTT